CTCTAGCCAACTCTTCATGGTTCAAAATTGTGGAAACAGATGCCTCCAATATTGGATACGGTGGTATTCTTAAATAGAAAAATCCAAACACAGGAACAGAGGAGCTTGTTCGCTTCACTTCAGGAACTTGGAAAAATGCACAATTAAATTATTCAACCATCAAAAAGGAAATTCTTTCTTTGGTTAAATGCATTTATAAATTCCAAGATGATTTAATCAATCAGCAATTCTTGTTACGCATTGATTGTAGTGCGGCTAAACAAGTACTGGAAAAAGATGTCAAGAATTTAGTTTCCAAACAGATATTTGCTGGTTGGGAAGCTGATTTATCTGCTTTTGATTTTTCTATTGAATATATTAAAGGCAGTTCTAATTCTTTACCTGATTTTCTAACTCGTGAATTTTTACAGGGTTCATGAATCAGCCCCCCCATGGGCAGGGCCGGGGTCATACTCCAAAGGCTCGTGGCAAAAACAAGGCTAAGGCCAAAGTGGTTATACCACTCACTGATGATCAGTTTCCATATCTGGAGCATGTTGCTGATCTGCTCAAAACTCCTTCTAAAGGAAGCAGTAGTTCTCAGCAACAACAACAGAAACCAACCATGAAAGAGGTTCTTGAGCAAGAAACTCCATGGATACCTAATCAAAGGTATATTCAAACAGTATTGGTACTGGATTCTCAAGATGAGCAATGGATGCCAGATCCTTGGGAACTAAAATCCAGATATTTCCAAACTCAACAATATGCTGCACCGGATGGTCGCCATAGATATATCTATGAAGCCATTCTTACTGAAACTTCCTCTGTGGAGATCAACCACACGAAGCAATTTCCGAATTCCAAAGATAGTCCTCTTACTTATAGTAAAGCTATCTTTAAGAGGCTTATACGGCCTAGTGACTGGGGATTAAATCCCAATTTGCCAAGGAAAATATCCTATGGTCACAGTTACAATTATTGGGATTATATCTCAGCTTGGACATATTCGTTCTTTTATCAAAATCCGAAGCATAGACATTCTTGGTTCTTCAAGATATGTCCTCAATCAGTTAAGGCTGATTTCCCCAACTGGGTTATACCCTGGTGGGCTATATTTGGCCCTGATCTGGATATGTTGCCCGAATCAATCAGTAAATTATATTTACCATGGCAATAATTTCATCCTCAATTACGAGGGCAGGATAATATTCCTGTAGGGAAATCCACCCTATTGTTCTTTACTGAATTTGGAATCCCTTGGATTTGGAAATGGGATTTCCAATGTGGTTATACCACTGACAAATTACCGGTCCTCCAGAGGATTTTTTATTACAGATGGTGGTCAGGCATGACTCAAGAACCTATCCAGGCCCTCCTCCATCAAATCAGAAAGAAAACAATGGAATATATGGATAAAATTCCAAAGTTAACTATTCCAGAACCAGAAATCTTTAACCCATTTGAACTTGTTAAAGATATGATCAGAAAACAACAACCATTAATTACCGAAGCTGATTTAATGGTTAAATGCATGGATTTTATGAGGAATAAATTTGTTAAATCCTTTGAATCCTCTACTCCTACAGAAAGAGCTGATGATGCATCCATGGTGTCAGTCTCTAGCCAAAACAGCCAAGAAGGTAATCAATTTTCTTGTCTAGCAGGTTATGCACAAGATCCCAATGAAGATCTTAATTCTGAAGACGAGATTTCAATAGCCGACTATTGGGACTCTCTCACAGGACATTTGAAGGATAAGATGAATCCACCCAAAAAGTAAAGATTCCTCTTAATCCTACCGACAGAAGAAGCCAAAGAACTTTTCCAAAAGTCTTTGATTCAACAGTATTTCCTTTCATCAGATGTCTACTTTCCATCCGATAAGGAGACAGCACTTAGTGGTGGGCCGGACGACTGCATTATTCAAGCACACGATCCCATACACTATGCGGACTTCAAATTGTGAATTTCAAGTCCATTTTATGTATAAATAGAAGGCAATGTTTTCCTTCAAAAATATCTTTAAATTTTCTCTTCTCTCTTTTGTAATATTTCTCTGTACTATCTTGGAAGTTGAATAAAGAAAGTTTTCTGTAAGTCTGTACATCTGGTCAATATTTGTTTAAATATATCGATCCTTTGCATTAGATTTTATTTATTAACTCAATCAACTAACCTATTTTTTCAGGCTTTTGAAGGCACTACTATATACCATATATGTATTCACCTTCCACATGGCAACAGTTTCTGTGTTTATTTGCATCCTTGAAGGGTTTATAAATACATGTAATTGGCGTCGTTCATTAACTTTTAAAGCCTTTACCAAAAATTGTCAGCAAAGTACTACAAAATAAGAGTAAGGCTAATAAGACAGCCCTCTCATAACAATAGTACTTATAAGCAGTGCTTCTTCAATGACATTATTATCATTTTTCATGAAAATGCAGATCAAATAAGGATCTTTGATAGATATATTTAGCATTAATATTAATTGGTCATTTCCAATTTGTTATATATTTTGAATTCCATTTTTCAACTCTCATCTTATACTCATTCTTGACTACAATTTTCTGCAGTAACAGTTTCTTTTTCATTGCAAGATGTCATTGGCATATGTCCAAATATGAGCTCCAATTACAGTTCTTCATTTAGAATCTGAATTAATTTCCAATATAAAAATCCAACATTTGTATTTGTTAGGTGGCTTTTGTTAAGTCTCTTCCTATAGTTTTCTTACGGCTGTTACAGCTTTAACAACCATGCTGCCCTATTTCTGGTTCTATAATTTGTAACATCTTCTAACATATATAGTGTGTATTGTCTACAATATTTAATGCTATCAATTTCTTTATTGTATTGTTTTTGTACCTTGCTGTGCTTTAGGTGACTATTCTCTAGGCATGATATCCACAAAGTTACTTGACCCGAGCACGATTGTTGACATACTAGTCAATTTAAACTTTTACCTATTTATGAGTGAATAAAACTCCTTTGGTACGACTCCCATTATTACAAGGTCTATTGTCATAAGTTTTTATCTATTTACAAGTGCACAGGGCTATTTCAGTATACGAGACTCCCGTTATTACAAAATTTATCATCATACTTGTCAGTTCTAACTTTTACCTAATTACAAGTGAATAGGCTAGGAAGACTTCCGTCGTTACAGGATCTGTCAGACATATGTAGCCTCATCTCCCCATGCAGAGAGGTAGTTTTTGTTTCAAACCCGTAACCTTTAATTCAAAATAAGAGTAAGGCTAATAAGACAGCCCTCTCATAACAATAGTACTTATAAGCAGTGCTTCTTCAATGACATTATCATCATTTTTCATGAAAATGCAGATTAAATAAGGATCTTTGATAGATATATTTAGCATTAATATTAATTGGTCATTTCCAATTTGTTATATATTTTGAATTCCATTTTTCAACTCTCATCTTATACTCATTCTTGACTACAATTTTCTGCAGTAACAGAGTTTCTTTTTCATTGCAAGATGTCATTGGCATATGTCCAAATATGAGCTCCAATTACAGTTTTTCATTTAGAAGCTGAATAAATTTCCAATATAAAAATTCAACGTTTGTATTTGTTAGGTAGGTTTTTTTAAGTCTCTTGCTATAGTTTTCTTATGGCTGTTACAGCTTTAACAACCATGCTGCCCTATTTCTGGTTCTATAATTTGTAACATTTTCTAACATATATAGTGTGTATTGTCTACAATATTTAATGCTATCAATTTCTTTATTGTATTGTTTTTGTACCTTGCTGTGCTTTAGGTGACTATTCTCTAGGCATGATATCCACAAAGTTATTTGACCCGAGCACGATTGTTCTCATACTACTCAATTTAAATTTTTACCTATTTACAAGTGAGTAGAGCTACTTCAGTACGACTCCTTTTATTACAAGGCCTATTGTCATAAATTTTTATCTATTTACAAGTGCATATGACCATTTCAGTACACGAGACTCCCGTTATTATAGGATGTATCATCATATTCAGGAGCGGAGCCAGCACAGGGCCGGGGGGCCATGCCCTCCCTGGGCCCATGCTGGCCCATTAGTTTTAATTACAAAATAGCCTATAATTTATAAAAGTTTTCAAAATGCCCCCCTGAAATAATTTATTTTAAAAAAATGGCCATTAATTTTTATTACACATAGGCCAATAATTTATAAAAAATTAAAAAATGCCCCCTGAAATAATTATTTACCCTTGGGCCAATTAATTTTTATTGCAAATAGGCCTATAATTTATAAAATTTTACAAAAATGCCCACTATAATAATTATTTTTAAAAAATATCTTTAATTTTTCCTTTCTTTTCATTCTTACTCCTCATCCTCTTCTTCTTCTTCTTCTTCTTTATATTCTCTTTTAAAATAAGTTGCATTCCTTTATTCAAACTATTTTTTTTTCTCTTCAAAGTTTAGTAATTAAATTTGTTGTCTTAAGATCGGTATTTTTATGTTCCTGTTTTTTTAAATAATTATTTTTCAAATTATTAAATACTATTATTCCACCATTAGTACAGTCTTATTTTTTGATTTATTGTCTTGCATCACTTTTCGCTTGAAAAAAATATCATTTATCATCTTTAATATGGCGCCCCCCCTAAATCAAATTCCTAGCTCCGCCCCTGGTCATATTTCTCAGTTCAAGCTTTTACCTTTTTACAAGTGAATAGGCTAGGGAGACTCCCGTCATTACAAGATCTGTCAGATGTACGCAACCTTATCTCCCCATGCGGAGAGATTGTTTTTGTTTCCAACCCGTAACCTTTAATTCAAAATGGAGCAACCTTGCTATTGCCACACAACTAAATCCGTCTAAAATATATGGAAAATCCACTATTAAATTGACTAATGAGTAATTCAAACACATTCCTTGTCAGAAATGCATTCCATCATAATAAAACTTTCTAGCAATGACTGAAGAGACAAAACTGCCTTTCAGTGACCATCATTAACAAATAAACACGTATAATTAACAAATAAACTTGGCAAGGCAATTACTGAATTAAACAGCTTGAATTAGGCATAAAAATTGATAACATATGCACTCACATATGCACTCTCTAATATAGTTTCACCACATTCATAGAAACAAATTAAACAGCATGAGTTTAAGATACAAAAACACCCAGGATATTGAACATTAATTAATTAATTACTATAGAATAAAGACTGTAAATTAGGTCCTGGAATCCAAGGCCAGGATGGTGCTGAGGTTCATGGGGTGCATGTACTTGGTCGAGCCGATCATGATCTGCTGCACAATCAGTCTGTTCGCCCTTTCGGATGGATGGAATGGATCCCAAAACGCGTACAAATCCCTGTTTGGGCATAGGTTTGACAGCGGCGTGCAAAGTCCGAGCCCATTGTAAGGTCCTTGGCCACAACATGCTATCTTCGACGTAACAAACCCTACCCAAACAAAGCATAAGGATTATTAATTAATTTCTTCTAGTCGAACATCGTAAATCCTTAATTTAGGTGATTTTTTTTTTTCAAAAATTATCAAACATTTCAAATTAAGGGTTGTAGCAATTTTAATCCATGCCCTATGATCTTATTCAAAGGCATACCTTCCCATATTTAATTTTAACAGAACTCTTGAATTCCCTATCTATTATTCCATGAGTCAATAAATATTTGCACAGTGAAATGGTGGTACATACAAGAGACCACACTATCAGTAATACAATTTTCTCGCTCCACCCATCATTTTCTGCCCTTCTGTCACTCCTCCATAGTCTATATTTTATCAGATCTCATTAAAATTGGTTGGATTTTTTTCACCCACCACTAGAATAAAATAAAACATAATAAATGCTATTTTTTTTTTTTTTTTCTTTAATAGAAAGACAATGGGTTGTTGGATCTTACTCTACTATCACTATTTAATTCAAAAAAAAAAAAAAAAAATTACAAAATGTCATTGAATTAGTCAACATTAAAATGAGCTTGTACATACCATAAGCTTGAGGATCAGAAATGAAATCATAATGCGTTTCCGCTGTATTAGCAGCAACAAAGATATCACTTCCAAGTTCACCGTTGAGTCCATTTATCATTTCAACAAGTTGTGGGTTGAACAATGCCGCGGCACGCTGCAGATCCACTGCACATTCACCGGTTCTGCTCCGCTGTGCTAACTCTGCCGGGACACAACCCATTGGTCCGGTTCCGGTCACCAGAACCCTTCTAGCCCCCAAATCATATAGCCTCTGAAATTGTCAAATTTAACCATCAATTATATATTATTTATATTATTATTATTATTATTTTACTTTGCAAAATTTGTGCATGGCAAGGTCTCAGTAACTAAAAAGAAATTGCACAAATGCATGGTTAAAACTTATAAAATAAAAAAAATAAAAATAAAAAAACAGCAAGTTGATTTCTACAAGTGATTATATCATTCAACAAGTTCAGATCGAGACTTGCTATTTGCAGGTGATTGAATATTTAGTGTGAATTAAACACTAATTATTTGCAGTTCAAGAACACTAATTTTCATTCGATTTCAATTTCAAGATGTTGATTCTATTCTTTCAAGTGTGACTTAATATATAGCTTTAAAAATAATGATAATTCAAGGCTCTGAAAAAAAAAAAAAAAATTAGAACTAGTTAGATATGAACTTTTAGTATCTGAAATGACGTTACACAAATTAATGTGCAATATTTCACTATATCAACGCGCGCACACAAAAAAGGCCATCATTTTCTTAGGGTGGCCATAGAAATAAAATTTATCAACTTTTCGGACCGGGTTCTCAACTATGTCATTATATACTTTCTATTTTAGGGCAAACTGTCCAATAATTTTCGCTATTTAATTTCTATTTCATGCTTGCTAGAGGACCACAGTCATTATATTGACTCAGTGATAACATGTGGAGGGAGAGAGAGAATTCTCTCCCAAGTTCATGGTTGTATAGGCTTTAATGAACATGTGAAAGAAACTGCTACTTTTCTCTTTCTCACCAACCAAACATGCCTCATATAATGGCTCTTCAGTATATATATATTATATAGCATCCTAAACATATGCATCCATAATTTATTTCTGTCATAAATATGGTACCTAAAGTATATATATCATTAATTCTTGCTACTATTGTCCCTAAATTATGAGCATCATCATATGAGCTAAAATATGAACAAATCATATAGTAACAAAAACAAATAAACGTTACATACCATTAAAATTTTTCGATACTCAGAAATGAGAAAAGGAACATAATCAGGAAGCGCGAATTGACGCGATCTTGCAGAGAAAGGAACCAAGTAATAGTTGTTAACGAAGTCATTCCCGCCTAGGGTTATGAGGACAAGACCACCATTTACGAGTCTCTGAGTCTGATCGGATCCGATGAGTCCACTCACCCGTTGCTGATACTGTTCAAAATACTCCAATTGTTTCCCAATTCGGATTATATTCACCTGCAAATTATTGAGTTTTGAAATATTTCATGAGTATAGAGTTTTGGGTTGTTTTATTAATGCGCATAACATTATAATATAGGTGTTTATTTAATTTAACAATGCTCACAAGGTAGCATATATATAAGTTGGAAAAAAAAAAAAAAAAAAAAAAAAAAAAAAAAAAAAAAAAAAAAAGTACTTTTCAAATGAAAATGAATCCTTGACTTCAAATTAAGTTCAAATAGTAACTATTGCAGTGTGTTCCTCTTAAAACAGTTTTTTAGAAATCTATAAATATTATAGCATATTGGTTAGAAAGGGTTTTAGAAAAGTCAACCAAACAAGTTGTACGTTAATTAGTTCTTTGTTCTCGTAAAACTAAACCAGATAGGTCATAGATTGTACGTACAAACTGAATTCCGGTGTCATTGAGGATCCCTATCCCAGCAGATGCAAAGTTGGCACCAACAAGTAGTCTCTCTCCTGTGAGCTGTGGACTCAAGTATGGCATTGTTGGTTCAGTACCCATTTCCTCACCTGCAAAAACATGTCATGACATTAAAAAAAACACACACACACACACACAAAGTATATATACTTAAATATTGAATATGAAACTCAACTGATAATGTCTGGTATGTTAAGGCCATTAGAGAAGCGTCCGGTGGGATGGTGAGTAGGGTAGTCAATGCCATATGGAGGAGCGTCGGCTCTGGCAGTGGTGAGGAGATAGTTGTTGTTGCCATTGTCGACGAGTGAGTCTCCGAACACGAAGAAAGCCCGGGCTTGGGCTTGGGCTTCGGCTTGTGGAGCCACTGTCCACAATGCCAAAACCAGACCTAGAATCGTGGTAGAAATGAAGCCAAATGAGCTGTCCATGGACTTGTCTCTGGAAGACCCTAGCCAAGAGTACATAGAACAGCTCTTTGTATATATGTATAATGTATTTACACCAATGCCTTTGGGATGAGAATGTAAAGAACTGGGATGGCTTTATATAGGGTTGGAGTTAGAGTCCTGTTCATTGATGCCGTATTAATGACCTTTTCTACCACCAAGAGAGAGAGAGCTAGTGCAATTCAATTATTCAATAATATATTGTAATGGAAAGTTGTTTAGCAGAGACTTAAATTCGGCAACATGACCTACATGCACTGTCCTTTTATATACAGGTAAGCATGAAGGAGATAATACAGTGGGTTAAGATAATGCAAGGAGATAATCTTAATTTAATTATTATTATTATTATTATTTTGGTTGTGGTGGCGTTGGTTTATTAGAACACCCCATAATCTATTACCAATCAAATTTCTCGTAAGTTACCCCAAGGTCTTATATTTTGTTAGCGTATACATTCGGTGACTGGGGTAACACAATTTAAGATCTAGGTCAAGTTCGACTATCATTTTTTTTTTTTTGTAAATATTTTACGACATTCAAATACCAAAAAATAAAATAAAAAATATAATTTTTTTTTTTCACTCACACACACATGACTTCACTAAGGCTCGAACCCCTGACCTCTTTTTGAGAAGTAAGAGCTTGGTACCGCTAGGCCACTGACCTGTTGGTAATAAAAAATATTTTACATCCAAACAAACAAACAAACGCCAAATACACATATTTTCAACCAAAAACAATAAGTAAAATTTCAAACATTGATTGATGCATTTAATTTATCATGTTCACATTTATAATGCCATTACTAAGTATTTAATTGGTCAATAATCTAAATTTTATTCAATTTATGAAATCACAGTTGGATTTGATTTTGATCATGTGATTATAAGAGTCTAAGGTTGATCTTTTAAGTATTTAATCTGTGAAAAGTCGACCATTCAAATATGTTATGTTGTTTTAGTGTGGATTTGTATTGTTATTTTTTATTATTGGAAGCAAATTCTAACCTGGGCTTTATTACCACCCAAGTTATTTTTGTGTTAAGAAAATATAAATTTGTGTAATTAAGTTTTGAATAAATATCTAAACAATAAAGGAAACTGAAAATATCGTAATATTGTTCAAATATTTTAATTCAATTGACTTGGGTCAATGGGTCAGATCCGAACTCACAACGGCGGATTGGGGATTTTGGTCAAGATTTTGAAAATTTTTGTTGCAAGAATATTAACATTTCTCACACCAGCAACAACCTAACAATGTCACCAGTGGAAATAAACAATTTCATTTTTCTATTTATACAAGGAAACATGTCATTATTTAAATCAATTAATATATGTTAAGTGATTGTGTAACAATATATTTTAGGTCATTGCAAAATATGAACTTTAAGTTCTGAATATATGAGGAACTTAATTTTGATTATGTTGAATCACCAAGTGATCTGATCCAAGACGAATTGATTATTTTTACTTTCTAATAAGTTTATAAATTTTTTTTTATTTTTTAACCAAAAAGAGAAATAAATAAATATATCTTACATTGAGTAAATTGGGGGTTCTATCACATCGGGTTTTTACAGTTTAGTTAGGTGCAAGTGAGTACATTTGCAGTTCAGGACTTCTGCAAAACATAGTACATTTAATTAATTTTCGAGAAACAAAAATAGTACATTCAATTTACAAATCACTAATAAAATATGAATTAAACGGCATGAATTTAAGATATAAAAACACTCTCTAATATATATATAGTTTCACCACATTCATAGAAACAAATTAAACAGCATGAATTTAAGATATCAAAACACCCAGGATATTGAACATTAATTAATTAATTACTATAGAATAAAGAGTGTAAATTAGGTCCTGGAATCCAAGGCCAGGATGGTGCTGAGGTTCATGGGGTGCATGTACTCGGTCGAGCCGATCATGATCTGCTGCACAATCAGTCTGTTTGCCCTTTCAGATGGATGGAATGCATCCCAAAACGCGTACAAATCCCTGTTTGGGCACAGGTTTGACAGCGGCGTGCAAAGTCCGAGCCCATTGTAAGGTCCTTGGCCACAACATGCTACCTTCGACGTAACAAACCCTACCCAAACGAAGCATAAGGAATATTATAATTAATTAATTTCTTCTAGTCGAACATCGTAAATCCTTAATTTAGGTGATTTTTTACCTTTAATAGCAAGACAATGGGTTGTTGTATCTTACCCTACTATCACTATTTAATTAAAAAAAAAAAAAATTACAAAATGTCATTGAATTAGCCAACATTAAAATGAGCTTGTACATACCATAAGCTTGAGGATCAGAAATGAAATCCAAATGCGTTGCCATTGTATTAGCAGCAACAAAGATATCACTTCCAAGTTCACCGTTGAGTCCATTTATCATCTCAACAAGTTGTGGGTTGAACAATGCCGCGGCACGCTGCAGATCCACTGCACATTCACCTGTTCTGCTCCGCAGTGCTAACTCTGCCGGGACACAACCCATTGGTCCGGTTCCGGTCACCAGAACCCTTCTAGCTCCCAAATCATATAACCTCTGAAATTGTGAAATTTAATCATCAATAGCTTTTCATTTTATTTTATTTATGTACTTATTTTTTAACACTGAATATTTGTGCATGGCAAGGTCTCAGAACTTAAAATAAATTGCATAAATATTTCATGGTTTAAAAATAGCAAGTTCAGATCAACACTTACTATTTGCAGTTGATTAATTTAGTCCGAAACACTTATTATTTATAGTTTAGAAACACTAATTTTCATTCGATTTCAATTTCAAGATATTGATTCTATGCTTTCAAGTGTAACTTAGTATAATTTTAAAATAATGGTAAATTCAAGACTATGAAACAAAAACAAATAAACATTACATACCATTAGAACTTTTTCGATACTTAGAAATGAGATAAGGAACATAATCAAACATGCCTCATATAAAGGCTCTACAGTATATATATAACATCCTAAACATATGCATCCATAATTTATTTCTGTCATAAATATGGTACCTAAAGTATATTTATCATTAATTCTTGCTACTATTGTCCCAAAAATTATGAGCATCATGATATGAGCTAAAATATGAACAAGTCATATAGTAACAAAAACAAATAAACGTTACGTACCATTAGAATTTTTCGATACTCAGAAATGAGATAAGTAACATAATCAGGAAGCGCGAATTGGCGCGATCTTGCAGAGAAAGGAATCAAGTAATAGTTGTTAACGAAGTCATTCCCGCCTAGGGTTATGAGGACAAGACCATCATTTACGAGTCTCTGAGTCTGATCGGATCCGATGAGTCCACTCACCCGCTGCTGGTACTGTTCAAAATACTCCAATTGTTTTCCAATTCGGATTATATTCAGCTGCAAATTATTGAGTTTTGAAATATTTCATGAGCAAAGAGTTTTGAGTCGTTTTATTAATGCACATAACATTATAATGTAGGTGTTTATTTAATTAAACAATGCTCACAAGGTAGCATATATATATAAGTTTAAAAAAAATAATAATAATAATAAATTAAAAAAAAAAAAGGTAAGACAAGTACTTTTGAAATGAAAATGAAACCTTGACTTCAAACTAAGTTGAAATAGTAACTATTGAAGTGTGGCTCTTTAAAAACAGTTTTCTAAAAATTTAAAAATGTTATAATTGTTAAAAAAAGATTTTTAGAAAAGTCAACCAAACGAGTTGTACGGTTAATTAGTTCTTTCTTCTCGTAAAACTGAACCAAATAGGTCATAAATTTTACGTACAAACTGAATTCCGGTGTCATTGAGGATCCCTATCCCAGCAGATGCAAAGTTGGCACCAACAAGTAGTCTCTGTCCTGTGAGCTCTGGACTCAAGTATGGCAATGTTGGTTCAGTGCCCATTTCCTCACCTGCAAAAACATGTCATTACATTAAAAAAAAAAAAAAAAAAAAAAAAAAAAAAAAAACACACACACACACACAAAGTATATATACTTAAATATTGAATATGAAACTCAACTGATAATGTCCGGTATGTTAAGGCCATTAGAGAAGCGTCCGGTGGGATGGTGAGTAGGGTAGTCAATGCCATATGGAGGAGAGTCGGCTCTGGCACTGGTGAGGAGATAGTTGTTGTTGCCATTGTCGACGAGTGAGTCTCCGAACACGAAGAAAGCCCGGGCTTGGGCTTCGGCTTGTGGAGCCACTGTCCACAATGCCAAAACCAGACCTAGAATCATGGTAGAAATGAAGCCAAATGAGCTGTCCATGGACTTGTCTCTGGATGACCCTAGCCTGCAGAGTATATAGAACAGCTCTTTGTATATATATGTATAATGTTTTTACACCAATGCCTTTGGGATGAGAATGTAACGAACTGGGATGGCTTTATATAAGGTTGGAGTTGGAGTCCTGTTCATTGATGCCATATCTACCCCCAATAGACAGAGAGAGCTAGTGCAATTCAATTATTCAAGAATATATTGTAACATGACCTACATGCACTGTCCTTTTATAAACAGGTAAGCATGAAGGAGATATACAATGGGTTAAGATAATACAAGGGGTTAAGATAATTTTTTTTTTTTTTTTGGTGGTATACAGTCTCTTAAAACACCTCATAATCTACCACTAGACATATATAGACCCCCATACATCAAGCAATTATCAAGAAAATTCTCTGAAGGCTACCCAAGTGGCTGGGGTAACACACTATAAAAACACATACTTATTTTTTAACCAAAACTATAAGTAAAATTTTAAACATTGATTGATACATTCAATATATAATGTACGCATTTATAATGTCATTACAAAGTATTTAATTGGTCAATAATCTAAATTTTATCCAATTTATGAAATCACAGTTGGATTTGATTTGATTATAAGAATCGAAGGATTTTATTCAATATATAATGTACTTTTCTAACTTAGGCTTTATTACCACCCAAGTTATTTTTGTGTTAAGAAAATATAAATTTGTGTAATTAAGTTTTGAACAAATATCTAAACAATATTACCAAAAATATATATAGGACAATACTTAGAATGTACACCATTGTGATGTAAACCAATAATAAATGAACACGTTCCTTTTAATTACTAAATTAGATTTGGTAATTTGATTAGTGAATATATACCCACCATTTTTTATTTGATAATTAAAGATGAGGTACTCATTTGTTATTGGTCCACATCAATAGTGAGGATGGTGTATATCCTCACGAGTGAAGACCTAAGTATTGTCCATATATATATATATATATATATTTAAACAATAAAGCAAAACTGAAAATATCATAATATTGTTTAAATATTTTAATTCAATTGATTTGGGTCAATGGGCCAGATCCGAACCCACAATGGCGGGTTGGGAATTTTGGTAAAGATTCTGAAAGTTCGAAGAATCAAACCGCCCATTCTCTTTATACCTGCTTCTTGATGGTGATGAATATTTTGATTACTTCTTTACTATATATATATATACACACACATACATACATACACTCAAACTAACCTTTCAAAAAAATTAATATTAAAATACTTCCTCTATTTCAAAAAAAAATATCATATTTTAATTTCGTCACCAAATCAATGGACACAAATGCAGCATTTATACGCTTCTTATTGGACTGATTCTTAAATTTAAACCTGAGTTTTGATTATGCTGAATCACCGAGTGATCTGATCCAAGACCAATTGATTATTTTTACTTTCTAATAAGTTCACAATTTTTTTTTCCCAAAAATAGAAAGAAATAAATAAATCTGACATTGTGCAAATTGGGAGTTCTATCACATCGGGTTTTTACAGTTTTGTTAGGTACAAGGGAGTACATTTTGCAGTTCAGGACTTCTGCCAATCACAGTACATTTAATTAATTTTCGAGAAACAAAAATAGTACATTTAATTTACAAATCACAAATAAAATCTGTTACAACAATATGTTTTTAAGCATGGGTCTTTACTCATTAGTCAAGATGGTAAATCTCTGGTTTAAAAAAACACGGTTGAAAAAATAAATAATCAAACATCACATAATTTAATGTATAATTTGTATTTGTCACCTGTAAGTCTCATTAATTATAACATTTTTTGGTTAATAATAAAAGTGATTTAATTCCATATAAATTTGGCCATGCCTATGTCATAATGGAAGTGATCTAGACCATGTGAATTTGACCATGCCTAGGTGGTAATGGAAGTGATCCCTTTATAATTTCCTAGGTCATTTCAATACAGAAGTAATTCTAAAAAGTTTCTAAAGTGACACTTGCAAATAATGAAAACATATAAAGAATACCACATTGGGTAATTAATTGTTTCACTATATTCTTGTTTGGAGAACAAATATCATTGAAACTCCAAGGGAATAGTTCAATGGCAAAAACTCTCATCTTATATTTTGGAGGTCGGGAATTTGAATCCCCTTGAACCATTCTCAAGGAATTTTTTCAATAACAACTCGATGAAAGTAGAATGAGAAAATGCATGTGCCCGGTGGTGGATTACATTTCCGAAATCTGATGAGGATATAGATTTTAACTACTTATTAAATATTGGAAGATTAAATTTAACAATAGTTAAGATAAAGAATAATGATAAGTAGTTTGACTTTATTGATTTATGTGAGTGTAGATCATCATGTCATCATCTTCTATTCGCATAAATTTAGTCGGATGTGTCTGACTGTCGGACTAGCTCCCTATCATTACTCTAACATTGAGCTAAGGGTTTAATTAAAAATTTAAGCATTAGTATATGATTTGAAGTGCCAAGAAAGCCGAGAAAGTGTCTCACAATCACTCATCAATACAATTTAATGTTTAGTCACTAAATGCAAAATATGAAAGGCATGTCTAACAACCACAATTGATAACATAAATATAAGATTAGGTGTCACTATATATAGTCTTTTTTTGGTTCTTGGAGACATTAGATTATTTGTGACACTGAACTTTTAAGCATTAGTTTCTTAGTCCACTAAATGCAACATGAAAGGCAAGTCTAACAACCACTCATTGACAACAATATAAGATTAGTTGTCACTATATATAGTCTTTTTTAGGTTCTTGGAGACATATTAAATTACTAGTGAAACTGAGCTTTTTTAGCATTAAGTTTCTTAGTCACTAAATGCAATTTGAAAGGCATGTGTAACCACCACTATTTAATACCTTAGTTCTCACTATATTTAGGCTTCTTGGAGACATATTATTTTACTTGTGACTGATTCTGACCTTAGTTTCTGTTTGTGACATTCATATTATAAGTATGATCTTGCAGATTAAACAAATGAAGCTTTCAAGTTTTCAACACAAATAATTAAGCATGTGAGTTATTTATTTCATGACTTGATTTTCATTATATATAAACGTTTATTTATGATGGGGGAACAGATAGGATCCCATGAATAAAGAGGCCACGTGAACATCATAAATAGGGTGGGGTTGGATTTTAGCTGATTCCAAACGATTCACTAGCTACCCACGTCTAATATATATACATATATATATTGGTATATATACACGTCCACGTGAATGAAAAAGGGCAAACTCGTACACGACCCCTTGTCCATTCTGAAATCTAGAAAAGGTTAGATATATGTCACTGGTATCAAATTAATCCTCATTTAAAATTAGGAGTGTGACTTGGGCGGCAATACTCTGCACGGTTTCAGAGTCATTCCAAATTTTAATAACATATTAACAAATATGTTATATTCGTCAGCCTAAGCCCTTTAAAGGTGTAACAAAAATCAACCAAATTATGTGTAATACGAATCCACGATTGATGATACTATAAATAATCTAATTTTAAGTGTAAAAAGTTATAAATCATCTTATATTTCGGGTTTTTTAGGTTATGGGTTACGAAAACCTTTACTCAATTCATATCCAAAATAAATTCGGACTCTAAAGTTTAAACACAGTCCGATCCCACGATCTCAAATACCATATTTATTTACGTAAAATTTTCGAACAAAAATCGAGTTACTCGGTTTAGTCTCACCCCAATGTTATCTCAATTCAGTTGAATACAAAGTTGGATAGAATATTCATTTACTTTTCTGAAAGTTAAAACTATTGAACAGCATAGCAATTGATATTTTGTAGATTCATTTTGGAGGAAGATAAAATTTTCAACTAACTTTTAGAAAGCCAGTAGTGTTGGAATTAAATCCTTTTGAATGATGTATGGTAAATAAGATAACATAAAGAAGAATGAAGCTCGCTTAATATCACCAACTACTTTGTACATCAAATGCATTTACACATTTCAACTTGCAAAGAAGAAACAGTCCAATAAAAACCTAGCTACCACCCACAGATTCCCAAACTGGTGGTTCATCAACCTAGTTTTTCCGGCTCTTAAATACCTCACTACTAGAAAAAGAAAACAAGAAAATGACATCCTTACAGATTTTTAATTTTACCGATCAAGTACAGAGATTCACTTATTCTTTTTTATTTTTTCTTGTTGGAACAAAAAGTCACCTGCCTTGGCATATTAATTTGTTGACCTCCCATGAGTTGTTCTAGGCGGTAGATCATTCAAATTCGTTAATGCTATATTTGGGACTCTCGAATCAACAGAAATTTAGTTAAAAGTTTTAACTGATTTTTTTTTTTTATATTCCAATTTTATGGAACCAATTTGGTGATTCTAAGTACAACACAAGCATATTGTCTTGATTTATTGATTACTTGTGATTGTTATAACTAAATATACAATTCATAAACGTTCATATGTGTTGTTAACGTAACGATCTCTATGCACCGGTGTGATGTGGACGGGTGCGAGAAATTGAGCGAGCTACCCAACTGGCATATTACGGATGTTATGATCCCACATCATTTGGGGAAGGTAAAGGTGAAGTGTTATATATATGTTCAATACCCTTTTATGACACAACGCATTTTAAAATCGTGATTATCGTAAACCAATCAGAACTTCGCAGTTTAAGCGTGGTTATGGTAGAGTAGTACTCGGAACCCAACCAGAAGTATGGCCAACGAGGACGTTTGACTTCATGGGGGCAACTCCACAATTAAGCGTGCTTATATTGGAGTAATATCAAGATGGGTGACCTCCTGAGAAGTCTGGTCTAAGAGAGCCAAAAACGGACAATATTGTGTTGAGTAGAGTGAAGGTTGTTACAGTCAATCTCTCATTTGTTCATATGTGTGTTAACCTCTCATTGCACGAAAGGTAAAGTGCACAAAAAAAAAAAAAAAAAAAAAAAAAGGTGCAAAAAAATATTCTTGTAGTTTAGTATGTGCATACTTTCGACTGTCAATTTTAACAACAAAATAATAATAATAAATAAATAAAAATAAAATAAAATAAAATTATTAAAATCCTAAAATAC